GTTGTTTTTTTCTTTTTTTTCCTTCCCATCCCATAAGGAGCTAATCAACTTGTCAATGTCTACAAAAATTCCTGCTGGGATTTTGATAGGGATTGTATTATACTGTCAATTTGGGGGAGAATTGACATTTTAGATTTACCCAGTAGTGGGATTGCTGGATTGATTAGTAGGTCTACTTTTAGTTCTTTGAGTAATTTCCATACTGTGTTCTGTAGAGATTGTACTAGTTTACATTCCCATCGACAGTGTATAAGTGTTCCCTTTTTACTGCACCCATGCTAACATCTGTTATTGTTCTGTGACTTTTTAATAATGGCCGTTCTGACAGGGGTGACATGGTATCTCATTGTGATTTTAATTTGCATTTTACCTGGATGATTAGTGATGTTGAGCATTTTTTTGTATGTTTGTTGTCTATTTGTATATTTTCTTTTGAAAACTGTTCATGTCTTTTGCCCACTTTTAAATGGAGTTACTTATTTTTTTCTTGCTGATTTATTTGCATTCCCCGTAGAGCCTACATAATAGTCTCTTGTCAGATGTATAGTTTGCTAACATTTTGTTCCATTATTTAAGTTGTCTGTTTACTCTCTCGATTATTTCCTTTGCTGTGCAGAAACTGTTGAGTTTACTTAAGTTCCATTTATTTCTTTTTGTTGTTTCTGTATTTGCTTTTGGATTCTTAGTCATAAAAAGAATTTATGACTGGCCATTGTCCAGAAGGGTTTTTCCTACATTTAATTCTAGAATTTTTATGGTTTCAGGTCTAACATTTAATTCTTTAATCCCTCTTGAGTTAATTTTTGTATTATGGTAAGAGATAGGAATCCAGTTTCATTCTCGTGCATCTGACTCCAGTTTTCCCAGTACCGTGTATTAAATAGGGTGTCCTTTCCCCAGTATAAGTTTTTGTATGCTTTCTTGAAAATTAGTTGGTTATAGGTATATGGTTTTATTTCTAGGTTCTCTATTCTGTTCCATTGATCTATATATCTGCTTTTATTCCAGTAATATATTGTTTTGGTTACTATAGCCTTGTAGTACAATTTGAAGTCAGGTAATGTGATGCCTCCAGAGTTGTTCCTTTTGCTTAGGATTGCTTTGGCTATTCAGCCTCTGATTCCATATGAAATGTAGGACCGTTTTCTAATTCTCTGAAAAATGATGTTGGTATTTTGATGAGAATTGCATTGAGTCTATAAATTACTTTGAGTAGTATGGACATTTTAACAATATTGATCTTCCAGTCAATGAGCATGAGATGCTTTTCCATTAGTTTGAGTCATCTGTTATTTTTCTCATCAATATTTTGTAGTTCTCTTTGTAGAGATCTTTCACCTCCTCTACAGGTATATAGGTTAGGTATATTCCTAGGTATTTTATTTTCTTTGCAGCTATTGTAAATAGTATTGAGTTCTTGATTTGACTCTCAGCTTGACGGTTATTAGTATATAGAAATACTACTGATTTTTGTACATTAATTTTGTAACCTGAGACTTTACTGAATTTATCAGTTCTAGGAGTCTTTGAAGGAGTCTTTAGAGTCTTCTAGATATAATATTATATCATCAGCAAACACGGATAGTTTGTCCTCCTTTTTTCAGATTTGGATGTGCTTTATTTCTTTTTCTTACCTGATTACTCTGGCTAGGACTTCCAGTACTATGTTGAATAGCAATGGTGGCAATGGGCATCCTTGTCTTGTTCCAGTTCTTAGGGGGGAATGCTTTCAACTTTCCCCCAATAAGTATGATATCGGCTATGGGTTTGTCATATGTGGCTTTCATTATTTTGAGGTATTTTCTTTCTATGCCTAGTTTTTTAACGGTTTTTTATCATTAAGGGGTACTGGATATTATCAAATGGTTTTTCTGTCATCTATAGAGATGGTCGTATGGTTTTTGTTTTTAATTCTGTTTATGTGGTGGATCCCATTTATTGATTTGCGTATGGTGAACCATCCTTGCATTCTTGCTTCTGTATCGGGTGCATGTATAATTAGGATTATTATATTTTCTCGTTGAATTGATCTCTTTATCATTATATTATGACCATCTTTGTATTTTGTTAACTGTTTTTAACTTAAAGTCTATCTTACCTGATATAAGAATAGCTAGTCCCACTCACTTTTGGTTTCCATTTGTGTGTAGTATTTTTTCCACTCCTTTTCCTTGAGGCTTGAAAATATTTATGAGTCAAATGGGTTTCTTGGAGACTGCATATATTTGGGTTGTGGTTTTTTTAAAAATCTTTTTGCCAATCTATGTCTTTTCTGTTGGGCATTTAGACCATTTACAGTCAGTTTCCATATTTATATGTTAGATACTGTTCCAGTTATGTTGATTTTTACCTACTTGCTCTATTTTCTGCCTCATGTTACTATTTCATAAGAGCTGTGAGTTGTTAACTTTCCGTGGGTGTCAATTTTTCTGTTTTATGTATGGAGCACTTTTAAGCATTTCTTGTAGGGCAGGTCTAGTGGTGACAAATTCCCTAGTGTTTGCTTGTCTGGGAAAGACTTCGTTTCTCTTTCATTTATGAAATTTAGTTTTGAGTGATACAGAATTCTTGGCTGATGGTTATTCTGTTTAAGGAGACTGTGACAGGACTCATAGTCTCTTCTGGCTTGTAAGGTTTCTGTTGAGAAGTCTCCTATTAGTCTGGTGGATTTTTCTTTTGTAGGTTACTTGATGTTTTTACTTCATGGCTCATAGGAGTTCCTCCTTCATGTTTACTTTGGCCAGTCTAATGACCGTGTGGCTTTGTGATGTCCTTTTTTCAATGAATCTCCCAGGTGTTTGTTGAGCTTCTTGTATCTGGGTGTCTACACCTGTGGCAAGACCAGGGAAGTTTTCCTCAGTCATCTCCTCAAATTGGTTTTCCAGTCCATTTGCTTTTTCTTCTTCTCCCTGAGGGATATCTGTGATTCTTATATTTGGGTGATTTACATAATCCCATATTTCTCAGAGACTTTGTTCTTCTTGATTCTTCTTTATTTTTGACTGATTGGTTAATTTGAAAGAGTCATCTTAAAGCTTTGACATTCTTTCTTCTGCTTGGTCTAGTCTATTGTGTTTTGTATTTCCCTATATGAATTT